AAAATTTTCAAAGTTATAATTTAAACGTTGTAAATTTCTGGCAGCATTATAAATAACATTGTACTTAGAGTGCCAAGAATTTTATTTTACACTTATTGGGTTGCATTCCTTCAAGTCACCCTATCATTGTTTGTAATAAGTGCATCCTGTGAAGTAAAACTGTGGGGCCTTGAGAGCAGGAGAGGTCAGTTATTTAATATTATGATGGGACAGTGCGTAGTCTTTGAACTTCCAAAAATGCTCATTGAATGAGTGAGTACCTAAATGAATATTTTAGTGGATAAAGGAGACTTCAACATTTAATTATTAATATTGATAATTTCTCCCCCTACTAAGTATGTATAAGCAGTTTTTCTAAAAGTCACTCCATTTTTAGTAGCTATTGAGGGAGAAAAATCAATAATGTGGTGAGAAGGGCAGCAGAAGAATCAAACTATAATGGTTCCATAGAGTCTAGGATCTGAAACATATGTGGTTCCGTAACTCCTTGTAAGACCCCTTCAGCCCCCATTAGTCTAATTAGACACTTGTGTGTCTAATTTCCTTGCCACAGTCTTCTTTCTTTGTGTCATCTTCATTGCAGTTACTTTTTACTTTGCTAAAACTCTCTTACGTAGCTACCCATGACAATCTACTCTGTTTCCCTCCCATCTTTATTGCCATTCCTGTTCAATATCCTGCTAACAAGTTTTATTTTCACTTGCCCATTTCTCACATTACTTTCTTCTGCCTTTCCCCCTAAAATATTAGGCACCTACTTTGAGCCAGTCATTGCACTGGGCCCTGGGAAATAGCACTAATACGTCAAAGTCCATGCTTGATGAAAATTGTGCTCCAAAGGGTGACAGGCAATCATCAAGGAGATGCCTCTAAGAAAAAAAAAAAAAAGCTGGAATAGAGAAAGAAGGGGAAGTTAATTCTTATAGGTGGGGTTAGTCCCAGGGGAATAAGGCCAACATGGCTGGTTCGGAAAGAGCAATTAGGAGAAGACAGAAAAATAGACAAGGCCTGGCCACGTAGGGCTTTGTAGACCACAGTCCAGAGTTCAGATTTTAGGAATTTCCTGTGTAGCAGGTTGAGGAAATACAAGTTCTCCATAGTCTCATTTCCCAGAACTGCCCTGCAGAGACTCTCCTCTGCGTGAATGGGGTACTGTCCTCAAGCATGTCTTGGGCTTTTGCACTTCAGATCCCACAGCCCTTTGGTGCATAGGACGACACTCCAAACAAGCCACCTGGCCAGGGCCAGGAAATCATTTTTAAGGAAGTAGCATTTAAGCTGAGACCTGCAGGGGTGGAAAAAAAATAAATAAACAACTCACTAAGGGAAATATGTCATGGCGGAAGAAGGGACTTCTAGACACACCAACAGCATTTCAAAGGCCTGAGTCTATAATGAACTTGAGAACATCCAAGGAGAACCAAAACTGAACGAAAGCCCCTAATTCTGGGGCACAGGGAGGAGGAGAGAATGGCGTTGCTCCCGGTTGGTAGGCAGGGCCAGGTGATGCAGGCCTTGATGGTTATGGCAGCAAGTATGGTTTTAAGTGCAGTAAGAAGCAATTAAAGTGATTTAGACAAAAGAGTGACATGATTTTGTTTGAAGTTGAGACTGCCATCTGTTCATCAAAATCCATTTGTCTTTTCTCCCTGGGCACACAGCCAGATTCCATTTCCTGGCTTGCTTTCCCGTTGGCTGTGTATCCTATCCATGGAAGTAAGTGGTGGTGGTGAATATCACGACTAAGGTTAGCTCATAAAAACCTCCCATGTGGGTTTCCTCCTGCTGTGTCCCCTTCTCACTGAACAAATTTGGGAGCTGGTAGTGAGTACCATCAGCCTGGACTCCCCCATGTCTGTGTGGAACGAAACCTCCTCCCAGCTTACGTAGAACTGCCCTGAACTTTTATGTGAGCAATAAAGAATTACCTGATGTTTAGAGCCATTCATACATGTTCTGTTCATTTGCTACCACATTCTACTTTATCTAAAATTAGTATAATATTTTGAAAAAACAATTTTGGCTGCTGTGTGGTGTGAAAATATGAGGCAGTATGTACAATAGTAGTAGCCAAAGTGAAGTCCTATTGTGATAGAGACTAGGGAGATTTCAGTTTAAGTAGATTTTAGATAATTTTGGATGTAGAATCAATAGCCCCTACTTATAATGTGCTATGTATAGTAAGACTAAGGTAAAAAATAAAAAAGCTTACTTAGTTTGACTCTCAACTGCTATACCACTCACTTTCTGGACCTTCCATTGAATACCTTTAGGCATCTATTTCATTTATTTGACTAGATTGTCCTCAACCGGTGGGCAAACAAACCATGTCTTGGAGAATTTTTTTATTTACCAGAGTGTCTAGTACAGTGCTTTTTAATTAGCTTTGTTTAAATTAATGAATAAAAGGGTAGGCTTTCGGATTTTCTGTCATGAAAGTATTGGAAGTCACATCACCCAGCCTTTGCCTTGCCAATGATATTGCCTCAACCTGGCTTAAATGTTCATTGCCTTCTAAGGGAGGGGTTTAGACATGTTAAATTTTGTTCTACCTATGGTCTAGTGGGGAAAGTAACATCATAGAACCTGGATATGGACAAATGTCTTTTAAAGGCATGTGGGCTAATCCTCACTGCCCTCCCTATCACTTTCAAGTGTCCCTGATAGCCATTGCTCATTGCTCAGAGTTGCTGAATGCTTCAGTGGCAACTATTTTTATCCAGAGCTAGGCACTCATCTGGGAGGATCATTATGATCAATGGAGAGGCTCAGGATGGGAGGCTGTTTCTGTAATCCAGATGAGTGATGGCGAAGTCTATACCTAAGAAAGTGGCTGTGGAAATGGAAGAATAGGAGAAAAATGTAAGAAACTACAAAACATGGTGACTGAAAGGATTTGGGACATAGAAGACTGAAATAAAGAAGAATATGGAAGCCTTCATGCTAATGAAGCTCAATTTATAAAATTAAGTCTGTGTATATCAACAGGACTGTGTTTCCAAGATAAAGCCAGTTAACGCTGCCTGACACCAACAGGTGGCATTAGTGATGAGACTAGACATATCAGCCTTGTATATGGCCCTTTTGTTAACTTATTATATGTTTACTATATTTGTGCTTAGTTTGGATATGTTTTATAAACACTATTAACCCATCCGTGCCTGAGAAAGGCAAAACTGGTGATGTTGAAATTACTGGTAAGAGAATATGTAAGAATATGACGCCAATAGATAAAATAAAAATTACATTTGAAAAATGTGAATCCAATGTTGGAAACTGTTATTTGTAAAGGATGTGAATCCATTGAGAGGAAAAGCAACTTTGAAGGGTAAAGATGCAATCAGACCATTTGTAAGAACACTGCATCGCACAGTACAGGAAAAAGTAATTGACCAGATGAGAAGACAACTCCAAATACTGGAGTTTGTGTTTGGAATATCAGTGTACTACTGAATGCCCACTAGTTCAATGTTCTTTCTAGTTAAGGTCAGAGGTTTCTTTAAGATGGAAAGGACTAAGTATGGTGAAAGGACACTGGTGACGTTTTCTTGCAAGACATGATCCCTAGGTTCAAGGTCATGTTTATATGTGCACACTGTCTGGGTGGGTATAGAACTGGCATCAGGAAGACACTGTAGCTGGTAAGAGTTCTATGTGAGGCTTATACAGGGGAGGGAGGGGACAGCGAGTATGTAGCTGGTGGCAGAAGTCTGAATGGAAAGGAAGTGATGGATTTTAATGCAACAGAAAAGCTAGAGTCTGAGGCATATTTACTGAAAATGAGCGCTATTTGGTAAGGTGTACCTACCTTTTGTTTCTGTGTTGCTTGGCACAATAGAGGTAGAGGCATTAGACCAACATGTATTAGAGTGGATGAGAACCTCCCCTCCTCCATCATGTTCCATAAAGGCCAGTGACTTGTAAAAACACGGAATAAGTTAAGGGCCTCAGAAGAAAAATATGACTAACTTCTTAATCTGATTTTTTTTGAAATAATTACGGTTCCCATACTCACGCTATTTCTTCAACTTTGTTTTCAAATAAATACACTGAAATTTAAGTTAACATGCATATTACTTTATGACCTTTAAAGTAGATAAATGAGCTGTAACTGTTTGACTATAATGTAGACTCGATGCTTAACAGAGAACAAATTTCAAACAAAACCATCATTTCTCTCCTGCTCCAGTACTACATATAGCCCTGGCATTTTCTAAATTAAAAAAAAAAAGATGAAACAGTCAGAAAAAGACACTAAATAGAGAGGTGGAGGGAATTGAATGAAAGAATAATCTTTCCAGTGTGAAAGAATGAAAACTTAGAAGGAAAACAAGATACACAAAATCATGAGGTTAGATTAAGATAAAACAAATATGATTTCTTCAAATAATAAAATTAGAAATTTGGAGCTTAAAAAGCTCCAAGTGAAGCTTAATGAAGCTTAAAAAGGCTATCTAAAGGCAGAAATACATTTATGTGCTGAGTGCACTATGGAATTTATTCATCTCATACCATAGTGGTATGGAAGGAAGATGTAAATTAGTTAAAAAAACAAAAGTACATTAACATGCATGGACAAAAGCTCCATAATGAGTTGTTGTGGGAAACTGGAGATGTTTCTGAGTTCACATGCTCCATAAGATTTCTTTTAGAGATAAAATACCAAGTAGAATATATAAATGCACTTCTTTTGCAGTCTGACAAAATGTATACTTTGTATGATTTTCTTATTCAAACCCTACGTAAAGGTATTTGTACCCTATGTAGTTCTTGTTCTACCTTAAATGAATTTTTTATTCCTGTCATGCATGAATTTATGCCTCCTATGAATTACTGATATCTCATAATACCTTAAACATTTAAAAGTTATAGCCAAAAGTAGAAAGAAAAAGCATTAGCTTTCAAAAATTATAATCTTAGCATTTAAATAAAAAGGTACTTATAAGGTAAAGATGATAGATATTTCTTTTAAAAATTAACACATTTTATTCTTTCTCTAGGCTGGCATGATAAAAAGTGATGATGATGAGTATTTCATTGAACCCTTGGAAAGAGGGAAACAGATGGAGGAAGAAAAAGGGAGGATTCACATTGTCTACAAGAGATCAGCAGTGGAACGGGCTCCCATAGACATGTCCAGAGACTTCTACTACAGAGGTGGGCACCCTTGACTAACTAGGCTTAATAATTAACCATACTTTTAAGATGCAATGAAAGCAATTCTCCCATCAATCAAGAGAATGTGATTGTCTTGTGCTCCTGTGCGTTGTGGAGGTAGCAAAAGAGGTTTATGCAGGGGTTGGCAAAGTAGTTTTACTGTTGTTCATGTGGAAAATAATACAATAATTAATAAATAATAATGCATGAATAAACTTTTGTGTACTCATAGCTGTAAACCTACCTTTCCCAACCTCAGTATTTATGAAACATGAAATATGGCTAGCCTTTTTAAAAATGCATATAGGAGTATATGTTACAGGCACTATTTTATTCCAGGGCATTATTGGATCCCCAATATGTTTGTTATTTATGATTTCTTTTAAAAGTTTCACATTAAAAATATAATTTCTCTAGCTTATATTTAAATTTGAAAATATTTGTGCTTTCTAGAGCTATCTAAATTATGCTTTATTAATATTATTTAAAAATGTTTAAAACAGATATTTTGGCATAGTAAAAAGTCGCATTTTTTTCTAAGACCAGTATGATAGGTATATTTGAAAATAAGTATGCTATTTTAATTGAAGGTCTATTTTCTAAAACTTTTTACATGTGGAGGAGACAATGAGTTGAATTTTATTTCAAAGTAGTTTGGACCGCTAAAGTCAAGTTCAATTACAACACATGGATATTTTCTATTTTTCTTTTAATGAAATATGAAAGTAACTTGGCATTAAAGAGATATTCTTGGGTATAAAATTGGGTGTAAAAGTTTCCTTTATAGAGAAGGAAGGAAAGTTGGGAATCTGTGTATTTTTTTTAAACCACATCTCAAGAAGTCTCCATTGAATTGCCAGGCCAATTTTCTGAATAAAGATAATGGAAATTTCCCTTTGGGAGATTTCAAGGATATAAATAATCTTAATTGAACAGTTATCTGTTTTCTGTATTAAAAGTTGTTACCTAGTTATTATTTTGATTTTCAAAGCCTCCAGCTTCCTTTAATATGTTATTCTCATGGACCCATTAAATTTAAAATAAATTTAAAATGAACGTGCGCTGAAAATTTTTTTTAAATTTCTGATTTGAAACAAAAGGTCTGTACTTATAGATGCAGTGCTGAGAAATGTGTGCCTGTCTTAGAAGGTCACTGTGATGTAAGAGAAAGAGAAAACACTGTAGTCAAAAAGGCAGGTGTAAGTAGTAGTTCTACAACATAAAGTTGTTCTGTTTACCTTAGCTTTATATCTTTCTGAATTTCTTCTCTGAATAGAGTTAAAATATATTGCAGAATTGTAATGAGTATTAGAAATGATATATGCAAATTGCTTAATGTACCTTCAACAATAACAGTGCTTAATGAATGCTGGATGTTGTTTTAATTATTAGTGTTATTTTGTGCAAAATATTTACATATTAGGAGTTTCGTAAAAGTTGAATAGTTAGACATTGCTTGTTTTCAAGTGAATACATTACTGTTAATTTTTACTTACATTTTCATGTTTTAAAAAATGTCATTTTAAATCAGAAGACTGGTCAAAGGGTAGATAGGAGGATACAGTGCTTTTTCTATAGTTTTGGTTGTTATGTATTAATCACATATATCTCTTTTGAGGCAGTGGTTAAATATCTTTTAGAAAAGCATAGCACACATGTTATGGAATCATATTAGAGGACTAGAGACCAGATTAGTCACTAAGGATGTCTCCCTGTTTGTTCCATCTGTCATACCTAGTTTCACATGGTTGTATCCTATTGCTCCATTTCAATCCCTGATGGTATCTATTTCTGCAAATATAAGCCCTGGTACTTTTCATTAGTCTCATATTTATAAGGAAGGAGAGAAGATTATTTTTTCTCAAAATAAGAAAATTATGAAAATAATATGTTTAATACCTATCGTCCTTTTCAATGCTAGAGAAAATAATTTAGTAATCACACTATATTAGTATAAAATAATTGAATGGGATTAAGGTAACTTAAGACATAAATTTTACTCCAATTTTTATGGTACCAAAATCAACATACCACAAAATTTATAATGTAGACAGTGAGACTATTTATTTTGAGTTTTTCACTCATGAATAGAGAAGATTGCCTCACAGTAGAAGTATTCCACAAATGAGAGCAGTACAGTTTGGAAAGATTCTCAGTCATCATGGGTAAAAGCAAAAGGGGTTCCTTTATTAACTCTCAGTGACCTTGAAACTTGATCCAAAATAGAACCATTCAGTTCTCTTAGAATGTTCTATGATAAACCCTAGAATGAGCTTAACAATTTTTGTTTTTCTTATTTATGAAGTTCTGACTGAACCAAGTGGCTAGTGATATCAGTTTAAATCCTGTTGAGAATCTTAAATTGTAACCATATATCAAATATTTTAGAAGTGTTAATCTCTTCCCAGAGTAAAAAGAGATTCAGATTCAGAACTTTACATGCACCATACTATAAATTTGTTTTATTTTTTAACTTCTAGGTGAGAGGATTAAGAGCCAAGCTATCACATGGACTAAATATTTTACAACTGAAAATTCGGAGTATATTTTTATACCTTATTCCATCATTTTAAAATGTAAAAGTAAACAGATTCTAGGAATAGAAAGGTATATTGATTTATAAGTGAAAACTATAGTATAATATAAAATAGTCCTTTTTCTGGATCCATTCACGGTGTTATTTTAGGAGACACATGAGATTTTTCCTTAAAAAGTTATGCAAAGAGGAAAAATACGTAAGATGAGACTTACTTAGAAAGAAAAGCATTTGAGGGCCCTGGTCTCCGTAAATTCCTCTGACCACAAGTCATCAGGATGGGTTTTGCCCTAAGCAAGGCTCTTCTGACCCTGCAGTTTCATCAGTAGGGCCCCTGTGATTAAATGCTCTGCATTTTGCTAGTTGTCGGAGTAATTGCCTGGCTACATTTCTTGCTTTGTCAGCTTAGCAAGAGAACTGCCATTCATTTAAGGTCTGTGGATTGTTGCAAATGTTCTAAATTAAAAACAGTTATGATCTGAAATAGGTCAGTAGGAGTGAGGTAGAGAGAAGGAGTCAGATTAGATTAAGATTGAAGGAAAATCGATGGGGCCATCTCTTGGAGTGTATATTAGGTTTGGAGAGAAAAAGCATGATCCAGGATGACTTGGACCTCTGCCCTGGAAGACTAGGGGCTTCTCCTTCCAGAATTTGGGTATTTAAAGTGAGAAATAGAAATAAGCTTGGTGGAGGATGGCAAGTCAGAATTAATTTGGACATACTGAGTTTGAAGATAAACTGTAATAGTGAGTGAAGAAATGCATAGTATATTGTTATAATCATGTCCCAGAGTCAATGCATGAGTGGCCTTATATACATGTTATGGTAGAGATGGGTAAAGGTTAGCTTTGGAGTCAGGTGAAAACTGTTGGCTTGTGGGTGCTTGGAATGTTTCAGCTTGCCTTCCATGCTTTCATTCTCAACTCTGTATCATCAAGAATCAGAAGGTGTACAATGCACAGAATTGGAAGCTCGTGAAAGATGTTTGCTACCTGTCATTACAGGGGAGGAGGACATTATGTCTTCATAAAAACTAGAACTAAAAATAAAACAAAAATTATGCTTCTTCTACACTCAAGAACCCTAAGCTGCTTCACTTTACTGAATGCAAACATCTGTTTCTATTCCTTTTTTTAAAAAACATTTATCTGGGTTTTAAATAAAAGTCACAGCCTTGAACCTGTTGAGACAATGTATTTTATGGTATGCTTCAACAACAACAGCAAAAGTCCGTCAACCATTCTCTTTCCTTGACTCTTAATAGGGAAGTTGTATTGTTTTTGAAATGTGGAAGAATACAAAGAACTGTTTAAACACACAATGAACTCAAAATCACAGATGCAGTGCTCTGCTTTAGAATTACTCTTTTAAAAATACTACCTAAAGCAGTTTTAAATTTAGTACTATACATATTCTCTTCCAGTGCAGAACTGGCAGGTATTTATAACATACAGCACTGTCAGTTTCTGACAGAAATACCACCCTTTTCATTAAACAACAACAAACGGCATGCATATGATAAACTTGTCTACTTCATCATGGAGGGAGAGTTGAATTTACTTCATTTTTCTGATTCCTGCTTTGTGGGTATGGAAATCACCTTTACTTTTGGCACCTTTAGGTTGGACAAAAGTTTTTTATATTTTATGGTTTTTGAATTTTTACTTGGTAACAACATGGATAGTAAACAATTACAGGGTCATAAAGTTTACCTCCACCATTAAATCAGTCATTAGTCTAAACTCAGATTAAAACAAGACAAAACAAAACAAAATATATCTCTGACCATCTCTTAAGAGAATATGTGCATTGTCATTAATAAGAAAGCTTGCTTTAGGCAGTCTGTGGTTTTTTTGGGGTGGGGTGGGGAGGGGTAGACTATATTGTATGACATCATGTGCTTTTAATATTTTTTATTTAATCCTTAGGCCCTTAGGCTTCTCCGTTCAAATTACAAACTGTTCATTCACCAGAAGCTTTGTGTTAAAGTAATTTTTGTAATTACTTCCTACCAGTGGGAAACGAGGACTAGAAAGCCTTTATCTCCTAGCTTCCTTTCAGAATTTTCATTTTCCTGCGTGAACCCAAGTGCCTGTGACACTGGTGTGGTTGTCATGGCGCTGTGAAGGGGTCTTTGTCCCAGGTGGGAAACATGTACAAGTCTGAAATGATTTGGGAGTTGCTCCTGGTTGCTGGGGAATGAAACTATGAAACAAGAACTAGAATAATGGGAAGACTATTCCTTATTTCAGTGATGCTAGGAACTTCCTAGGCATAGAGTCTTTCCTTGAATCTATAGACATGTCACTAGGTGCTATGTAACCCTTTGTAGTTGCAAATTCTCATGACCTGTGCTCTGATCAAAGAGAAACATTGATGGGCTTTGTAATAAATGTGTGTGTGCATCCTCTCTCACACACACACACATCAAACAAGAGAAATTAATTTTAGCAGATTTTTTAAA